GTGTTTTTTTTTTTGTATATTCTGTAATGTTATATATATATATATATATATATATATATACTATATATACTATATATATATATATATATATACTATATATTATATATATACTATATATTATATAATCATGTGGCTGTACATTTTATACTGTAAGTCTTTGCCTTCTATTGTTTTTTCCTGAATGACCACATGGTGGTTTTCTCAAGACAGAAATCTTGTATTTTTCTCTACACAACCCTCCAACTGTCAGTGAATCTTACACACAATACTGGTATCTTGTTTTTTTTTTTTTTTATCTGTATTAGTTGTGTTATGTATTGAAAGGATGATTCTAACAATAAACAGTGACATATTTGGTCTGAGGGTGCATTCATTGACATTTTTCCTTTATTTTTCACTAGTTTAAATGACAAAATTAGTAGTAGTGCTTCTATGTTTTGAATATTTTGATATCAGGTTGGTGCCAGAGAGCTGACAGTGCAATTACCAGAAAGTCTTGACAATCAGATTCAATTTAGTTAAAAAAAACTGACTTACCCAGTAATGTCACCCATTTGTAGTTCCATTCATTTAGCCATTGTCGTTGTTGTGATGGCAGTGTAGCAGGGCAGGATAGTGAGTAGGAAGTGACATCACACACAAGAGGAGGAAGGAGAGGTTACAAATCAGAGACACCTGAGCTGGGGAAAAAAAAAGCTCAAACAAAGGAGAACAAAGGAGGCTGAAGCAGAAACAGTGTGAGAAGTGAGACAAGGAAATGAAGGAAAAGAAACCAGTACTGGGATCTTGAACTGAAAACTCTGGGTAAATTGGAGGTGGCAAAAGAAAAACAAAAGAAAGGATCAACGGATCGGTTTAAGGAGAAGAGGATTGAGCTCCGGGGAACAGGCGACAGTCTCAGGCCGGTTTGGATCTCAGCGAAACTCCTCTCTCTGTCCAGGTCAAAGGCCGCGCTCCTTCAGATAAGTCCCTTCACCCCTCATTCTCCAGGCTTCTCCAGCTGACTGCCCAACTCACCTGCCCTATCACATGCCCACACACACTTACACTCACCCTCAGGAAACAGATCCAAAAAACTAAAGTCGACACTGAAATTCCTCCGTTTGCAGTTGATGTGATTAATTACTTTGCTGCATTATTAAGTTATATCGATGCTATTGATGATGTCACAAGTCCAGTGAAAATCTTTTCTCCGTATTGCTGAGAGCTCGAGAAAGTGCATTATTGACTGTGAGATTTTTTGGATGAGTGGTTGTTGAGACCCTAACCTAATACCCCAATCCCAACCCCAACATAAACTGTGATGTCATCAGTAAATCACAGAATATTGCTTTGTGAGCTCGTGAATGGAGTTCATTGCTCTCATTGGGTTACAGACAAGCACATTTTGAATAGGCACTGCTATGCCAGTGTGTTGCTGAGGACCTGAGGGAGTGCAGTGTCAAATGACTTTTTTTGGATGAGTGGCGATCGAGACCCTGACCCTCCCCAGGCGGTCACATGAACTGTGATGCCATCAGTGACATCACAAAATGAACAGATGAAAGTCATAAATCATGATGTCATAAACTCTGATGTCCTTGGTGACATCACAAAATGAAAGATAAGACATAAATGATGATGTCATACAAACTGTGATGTCATTAGTGACTCACAGAATGTTGATTTGTGAGTTTGTCAATGGGGTTCACTGTTCCCATCATCAGGAATGAGCACTGCACTAAAGTGAGACTAGTTTCTATTTACGCTTTAGGGCTATGTGCATTTCCAAAGCACTGATCTCCATCAGAAGAGCAGAGCCAGAGAAGATGCATCAATGAGGCCCACTGTCATCCCGCTGCTGTGGCATGTTCATTGAGTTTATTGAGCTTGTCAAGCATCTGCGTTGGGCCACCCTCCTGTGTCTGCAAGCTGCAGACCTGCGAGATCTCCTGCATCCGTGAACAGGGCGATAAGCCTTTCTGAAGAGAAGTAATGCAGCCTTCTTTTCCTGGCCTACAAAGGCACCATTGGATTGGCCCAGCCTATCCCAAGATTCATTGTGCACCAGTAATGAAACTAATATGGCAGCAAACATAACTGACAGAGAGCTGAGGATTACACTATGCAACCAAGGGCCTTATAACCTCAAGTTTCTGTGAAAAAAGTTATCTGTTGTGAAGGTTGCTAGGTGACAATATCCCCCATAGACCAGACCATCTAATTTAGGTCCAGCCTTCGCAGTCTACATCAGCTACTAAGGGCCACACTATCGTAGATCGTGTCCTCTGAAGGATGTGGCCCCTGACTTGGAACACAGCTTAGGTGTAAGATTAAACATCAAAGGCATCAGGACCTTTAGATACTGATGATATCAAAGTCACAATTTACTTCCTCTGATGATGTCATCGACTCTCCCATGAGAATTGTGATCAGTGATGTCACAACCTTGTCAGACAGAGTTTGTAAATAGGACCCATGACATCAAAGGGTATTGTTTTTTGACAATGCCACGCAGACGCAGACAGGCCTCTCGCCCCATTCGCAGACGCAGGAGACCTCGCAGGTCCCCAGCTCGCAGACGCAGGAGGGTGGTCCGACGCAGACGCTAAGCAAGCTCAATAAACATGTTGTAGCATTGAAATGACAGCTTATGTCATTAATACATCCTCTCGACAACCCATTAACTCCTCTCTAACTCCTCTCCAACTCTTCTCCTCTCTGACTTCTCTCTACTGATAGAAACCAGTGCAGTGGAAACACCCCAAAGCTTCAATAGAAACTAGTTTGACTATAGTACAGTGCTCATTCCTGTCAGCAGCTTGATGGGAGAAGTGGATTCCAAACATGTTCCATCATGTTTCATTTTGTAATGTCACTGATGACATCAGTTTATACACATCATTATTTATGACTTTCATCTGCTCATTTTGTGATGTCACTGATGACATCAGTTTAAAGACATCATCATGTTTCATTTTGTGATGTCACTGATGACATTAGAGTTTGTATAACATCATTATTTGTGACTCCTTTCATCTTGTGATGTCACTGATGACATCACAGTTCATGTGATGGCTAGGGGTGGGTCAGGGTCTTAAGACCCACTCATACAAAGAACCTCACAATTGACATTGCACTTCCTTGGGTCCTCAGCATCACAGTGGCACTGTATGGGAAAGGCACACTTCAGCTCCCAGTAACTAGTCTAGTGGAGGAGTTTAAATGTACTAAGGTTAGGACAGAGCTCCTGCTATCTGGGAGTAAAGATGTGGTAGTTAGTAAGGTGGTTCTAACCTCAATCAAAGGGAGAAAGTGGAATCCAAGAATGGCAGTGCAGGAGGCGGAAGCAAGGCTCAGGCATACAGAGATTGTGGGTAATGTCCAAATAGGCCGGGGAGGCTTGGGGCTTGGCCCAAGCAAACCGGTGTGGAGTAGAGTAGGTCCCAAGAAGAAGAGAAAGCTAGTCGTGGAGCAGGTTCATAGACAGGAGGAAATATTAAGGGGCGCAAAGGCAGTGGCCCAGGCTAAGCAGGGACAGTGGGTGAATTGGGAAGGTGTAGACAAGAAAAAGCTTTACTGGAAAGAGCTGTGGAGTATGGAGGAAAGTAGCATTAGATTTTTGATAGGGGCAACTTATGATGTATTGCCAACTCCCCAGAACCTAAAACTCTGGGTAAATGGAGACCCACTATGTTCATTGTGTTCAGGTACTGCAACTTAGAGCACAGCCTAATCCGGCGGGGGAGAGCTAGCCCAAAAAGGCACCTCTCCCTGACTGTACCTCCCTCATCGTCTTGGAGAGTGGGGGAATAGGGGGAGGTAGAGCACAGCCTAATCCGGCGGGGGAGAGTTTAGCTCAAAAAGGCATCTCTCCTTGACTCTACCTCCCTCATTCAAAATGGCCGCCACTTTCTCCAACCGTTTAGGGGAGTTTGTTTGCTGAATCTGCTAGTGTGTTTTGTCAGAGCTGATGATGGTGTTGTGTGTGGTAGCATAGGCAAGATAAAGAAAATAGTCGTGGTGTGAGGAGCAGTGATGGTTGGCACTAGGGGAGTGACTCTGGGACGCCAGTGATC